GTTAGCTTCATTTTATTCCTATGTTTTCCGTGCTCTTCAAGTTTGCTCCTCCAAACTAGCCCTTGATGAAGAACTAATATTATTTAAAAGCAATAGCTATTGACAGGGGCTTTTCACCCAACATTATTAATCAAGCAGTTAAAAAATTCTCATCTCAACACACTAAAAGCCACACTCTTGTTTTAGGAGATTATAAAAATTCTGTTGTCATTCCCTTCTTTCCATCAATTAGCTATAAAGTTGCACATATTTTGCAGAAATTTAACTTTCGGGTTGTTTTATTCTCCCATCAATAAAATTTCCGAACTTCCATACTCAAGGACCCCATTCCGGATATGAATTCCTGGGGTATTTATAGGATTCCTTGCCAGTGTGGTTTAATTTACATTGGCCAAACTAAGAGAGCCTTAAAATTTCGCGTCAAAGGAACATGAGGCATATGTTAGAAAAAAGGAAACACAGAAGTCTTCTGTTGCTCAACATTGTTGGTCCGAAAATCACACTTTCAATTTTTCTGCTGCCAAAATTATTCAAAAAACATCTTCCATTGGAGAACTGGATTTTCTAGAGGCATTTCACATTCATAAAAATCTTTCTGTTCTATTAACGATCCTAATTCCAATCCAAATTTGCCTTCGGCCTTTAAAGAAATTATGTTTTAGTTCTGGTTTCACCAACAGATGGCGCCACTTGCTTATTCTTGTCCAGGCTTTCTTATCTTATCTAATCATTATTTCCTATCTTGTTCATTTGCGGTTTTGCAGCTGAGGATGGTGGTTCGGTAAAACCATCGAAACTAGTCCTGTGAAAATTTTGTAAATATAACGCTGATTTTTGTTGTTTGACTTCTGAATTAGTATTTTTATTCTTTCATATTAGTTTATAATCTACTTCCTTTTTTTTAATAAAAATTAGTATGTCTAATTTAATTAAGTATGATTTAAGATTAAATTCATTGCCAAATTATTCAGAAGCATAAAAAGCGTTACTTTTATTTATTCACTTATACTTTGCTTCAAATTTAATTACATTATATCATATTTAATTTCATCATTTTTTAAAAAAACCTACACCGAATTTCAGTTGAGACAGATGACATCAGTTACTCAATTCAGATACCATTTCATAATATAAGCATAAAGCTAACAATGATGGAAAAAGTAATTCAACATTCTAACTGTAGTAAGAATCAGAACGCTTTTTTATTTCCTCTCTCCACACCTATAATCCCTACCTATACCTATAATTTTTCAGCCAGCTTCACACAAAATGGGATGTTCTTATTGGCAAGTAGATTGCAATAATCACCTATATCAACAATTTTTAAACTTTTTTAATCATGGACCCTAAACATGCCAAATATTTTATTAACGCAATATAATACAGACTATAATTTTAAGCATACATATTTTGCGTGTGATAAAATTTAGCATTAAAATTAGTAGCATTTTGATTTAATTTCATATTTATTTTATTTGTATAATAGTTTTCAATGTAAAAGAATCTCTGACAATAATTTTAGATAATTATATGGAGCTTATAAAATAACTCAAGCTTTATATATTGAATATTTATCTCATGTGGCCAATTTGTGCTTGAGTACCATTTTGGAAATGAAATCAGAGTACAAAAAGGAGGCAAAATATTAAATAATGGCAATAATGAAACTACTAATCGTAATTATAATTTTCTGTTATATTTAAAGAAATTATAAAATATATTTATGCAGTTTTTCTGAATTACAATTAAATATGCAGAAGAAAATTATAAAAATTAAAAGTTGCCAAGAAAACTTATGATTAATTTTTTTAAAACTCCCATTTAAAATACTTTCATTGTTTTCTTGTTTTTATGTGCATAAATGCACTACATTTTATCTACAAATTCATTTATTTCAATATCTTAAATTTAATTATAAAATATAAAATTTTACATGCAGCCATCCATTTCATATTATTCAACACAATACTTATTTCCAAAAGTTAATTTCTTTTAATTTTTCCTTTGTGTAGCATTCATTATCTCGATCACAAAATTCTTTAGTTATAGCTTTTACTTGCATTATAAAGCAATATTATCATCTTACAACTGAATCTTGCTTAGTTTATCATGCATGCTGTTTATTAAATTTAGTGTGATAATGATGGATTTTCTCTTTCATAATTCATTTCCATGTGTCATCCGACTCTACTGCATGTTAAGCCAAGATTTTCAAACTAGGAAACCATGTATCAGTTTTGTTGAAAAACTGGGTTTTTCATTCCACTGAATTTGTCGTTTCCTTGCCATCTTTCTACATTAGATCAGACAGATTACAGAGTTAATGGCCCTTAACAGGACAGCAGCCAGAATGTATATAAGCATGTTGAGATAGTAATCTTTTATTGCAAATTGTGCTAACAATGTGTCTCAAAATGTTGTAATCAAGACATGTCTTGATTTGAAGAGGTAACATAAATGGATTTTCTTATTTGTCAATTGCCAAATGATGATAAAGTGATTGCCATTAATTTGCTTTCAGAAAAAAGAACTATCCATTAGTGAATTAATTTTTCTAATGAAAATAATTATATTTTTGAGCAGCAATTAATCCTCAACTGTCTTATTAGGATTTCCATTACTATTTCCACCGATCTATATTTTGTGCAAACACATTGGTGATGGTGATGACTGCTTTCTTGTTCTAGGAAAAGAACAGAAAATTTCACATTTAAGAACTTTTATGTCATATCTAAATACCAAGTGTGACATAAACTGTAAATGCGTTTCAGCAATAATAAATTTATTAGTGGATGAAACTTAAATTGTGCAAATTCTATCCCTTCACCCTTAGGTGATTTTCAGAATATTTTTTCATGTTAAATTTTATTTCACCTGAACTGTATTTTTGTCTTATTATATATTATTGACTTTTTTCTTATTAAGTTTTATTTTATCTGAGTTGTCTTAACATACTACAGACATCTGTAGATTTTTATATGAAGATTCAACCAATGTTTTAATCAGTTGATATTTGCATTTATTTTACTTCATTATATGGTACATTACTAAGTTAACTCTACACTAAATCTACACTAATAATTACTAAATATTATCTACACTAATTATTAATTAAATTTTCATTGTATTAAAAATTACTCTAATAAATAAAAGCTTTTCTTTTCTATTCGCAAAAGTCGCTGAACACTGGTAGCTTGGTCCGAGGTTCGAATCCCGCGAACGGGCTGGCTGCATGGGTGTTTTCGTGGTTTTCCTCACGTGTAACGTGTATACGAACCAGTTTCCCTTAGAAAGTCCTCCATGAAGGCATCCTTCCCCCTTAGGCAGATAGCCCTCGAGGTTATGCGATAATCACACACACACAGAAACTCTCTTTTTGCAATTTTCGGAGTATAAAAGTATAAGGAAATTTACAAAATAGAATTAGCCAAAGAGCTTCAATGTTAGAACATATGCTTAAATACTAATATATTTTACATCAGAATTGTATTAGAAATAGTTCAGTAACCTGAATAAGTGAATTTAAGTCATTTGGGGGTTCCTTTGAGATGGATGGCATAGCTGTGCAACATGAAAAACATCCCAGTTTTTCAGATTTCAAGGTTGGCAGCTATGGTATGTTACATATTGTTGAATTTTCTGAGAAAAGAGCTAAGCTTCCTTTACATACTAAGCATATTATTTCTTTCTAGATTTTTAATCCTTTTGAAAAAGTTACGCCTAAATCAAGCAATCGTCGAAAAACTATTTCTAGTGTCTTTGAAGAAAATTTAGAAGGTTTGTTGGCTTAAATATTATACATAACAAATTCCTATATAAAAGTTTGATGTGTGCTTCTTTTCCTCCCACTATCATATCTTTTGAAATATCTGTTATTTTTGTGTGTGTGAAACCTACTTTGGTTTCTTTTTCTAGTCATCAAAAGATTTTCATTTTTATAGAATATTTATATATTTAATAAAGAGAGCATCTTCATTTTTATGGAAACAATAACCATTTACTATTGTTTTATGCAGTTGGTAAAAAAAAAGTAAATGTTATTAAAAAGTTTAAAGTAGTTTTACAGAATATTTTAATTCAAGTTAGGGCAAGTGATAAGCTTTCGTTTTCGACACTGAGGCAGATAAATATTAGAAGTACAGCTTTGACGGATAAAATAGTAGTGAGATATTATTAGATGACCTTCCTCACTATCCTAGATTTTAAAAACTTAATGCATTTTCAACTCTGCAGCTCCTCTGGGCCTCCTTGTTGTTTTCCTAGTGAGGGAGCATAGCCTACCTCACAGTGTCCAAAGGGATAGTTATAGGGTGATCAATGTTGGCATATTTCAAGAGATTCTCTAAGTTAACAGATAACTTTTATTACGATGATTAAACATAATACACAGCACTATATCGGATGGAAGACTAATTTACTTAAAGAATGGCGTTACAAGATTGCGCTCCTTATTGACGCTTCAAGACACGTCTTCACATGATGAGTTACAGGCCCAAACTAACTCTTTTGGTGCGTCAGCTCCACCTATAGTATCTCGTACTTCATAACACCTAGTTTTGAAAGTATACTGCATATACGTTATATTTTACACTTAATATAAGTTATTTTTGTGGGCTATGCATTTATCATATAAAATTACAAATTATCTTGAAGATCAGTGGAAATGGGTTATCCAGAAAGCAGGATGAGGGAAGTAGGAATTAGGCCTCAATAACCTATGACCTGTGAATCACCAAGCGGCCCAATTCATAACTTCAAATGACCCACTTGAGTTCCGAAAATAATAGAATGTGTAAAAATAAATTATAAAACATAAATATGAAATGAGCTGTTGAAGAATACATTAAAAAAATAAAAACTGACATTTTTGTTTGATTACAAAGTTGCAGTGAAGAACATGCATTTTTATTTTTTAAAAGTAAAAACTGTAGTGTAATTTGAAGAAATTGATAAGCTTGGTAATGCCGACCCATAATTCCAAAAAAACTGGCTTGTCTGAATGTTTTTGCGCATAAAATTTATTTTAAGTATGAACAGGAGTAGTTAACTACTGAAATGATTATATTCGTCTTAAGCCAACTAACTATAAGCCAGATTTGACTAAATTGACATCACAAGTTTAGCATCAAAGTCGTTGATATTGAAGTAAAAAATAAAGTTCATTCAGTTTTGTTTATTTTTTTAATAATTATTTTTTTTATGTTAAAAGCATATTGTAACTATTTTCCCAATAACCTTTACCTTTTTATTCATCATGAAAGACTGTTCAAAAATGGAAATACCATTGATCCCAAATGTTTTCTTAATACACACATTTCAGTTGATTTTTGTCTGCATATAAAAGAGGTTGCCGATGCCTGGTATAGATTATTTATTCCAGGTTCATGTATATATATATAAAAGAGGTTGCCGATGCTTGGTATAGATTATTCATTCCAGGTTCATGCATATATATGTGATCAATTTAGTTTCTTGCAGTAATTTGATATGAGGTAAGTTTTTGACTATGGAAGCCATTATTTTGCAGTCATGAGTGGATTAAGATTAAAAGATCATTGACAATATCAGTTATGTAGTAGAAGACGTGGAGAACTTTTGAAGACTCACGGAGTCTCTTGATAATTTGAATATATCTTTATTACTTGTTGATTGCTCTATGGCATGGCATATTACAATGGGACCAATCTGTACCCCACAATTTTAATGATAATGCATTACAGTTTTAACAGAAGCAGCCAAGCAAGAGACCTCCTTTAGCTAGCAAGCGTAGGCAGAGAAAGAAGGATTGTAGTTGGATTGCAGCGATATTTATAGTAAAATTTTTCGTTAATCTGTTTGGTTAAAATTTATGGGTAATGCAGAAGTTTAAGATCATATAAAGTGGGTGCAATTTCGAGAATGTTGTAGTTACTAGAGAGACAGTACCTAGATAAAAATTGAGCATATAAGAGGGTTTTTTTTTATTATAATTTTGATTTACATATATTTTATCAAACATATTCCCCTCCCCTTCAAAGAGAAAAAGGCTTGGCAATAAAAAAGCCTTTCTAGAAGAAAGCATTAGTGAAACAAAGGAAATTCAAATGGGGGGGTGTGAATCATGGAATTTTGATCTAAATAATTTTCTAAAAATAATAAAATCTTGTAAATATCATTTTTAACAATAAATGCAAATTGAAAATTCCACTGGAAATCTGAAAAGCTTTTTTTTTTTTTTTTTTTTTTTTTTTTTTTTTTTTGTTGTAAAAACACTAAGAAATGTTTTAATTTTTTTTTTCAAGAATAGCTGTAAAAGTTCCTGCAATATCTGTGCTTGAATATCATAATATTTTACAGTTCTTGACTTGAAAGTCTTTTGTAAAAATTGTTTTTGTGCCATTATAAAACCAAAATTTTCTTTTACATAATCTTGAAATTTGTGCAAAAGTTAATTATTTATTTCACACTTATAAAATAATTCACATTTTCTTAATTGTAAAGCAATATAAAATATAATTGAGAGCTTCAGTCAGTACAATAATAAAAGAAACTATGATAAAAATGGGCAAATTCTCTACAATGCAAATTTAAAATGCTACAATACTGATTTAGAATGAAAGCATTTATTCATATGATTGTTTTGAAAAGAATGTGTTGCTTTGAATGTGTATTAATTTATCTTATATCACTGCTTTAGTACCTGTTTTTGTTTTCTGATATTGTCATGTTCTAATTACGGATTGCTTTCAGATACGAATACACCTCACACAAGTGATCAAACCAGCTTTAAGCGTAAATCAGTTTCCAGTGTAAATGGTATGTCTTATATATATATATATATATATATATATATATATATATATATATATATATATATATATATATATATATATTTGTAACATGGCCAGTAGTGTGGCCAACATTTCTTTTTTTAATTTGAGGTTTGTTAAATATATTGCAATGTGGCATTTTCCATTATAGTCTCAACTTCCTGCATTTCAGTAAATAAAATTAGAGTTATAAGGTAATTTTTGAAGAATTTTTTTAATTGTATATTACAGGTAAAAAATTATATCATGAAATGCAAATAAAAGGTGTACAATTTGTAAAATAGAATTCTTTTGCTGTATTGCATTAATTTAGCATCTACATTATACTGAAAAAATTCTCATAAATGGGCTCTAAGGTTACCTTTAATAAATTCCAGTCAAGAAAAGATGTGAATAAAAAGTCAGCAAAACCATAGAATTCAAAATACAAATTAAATCTAAAGTAAATTCATGCATTTGCATTTTTTAATTTTTAGAAGCTCATATAAGATTTTGACATCACTATAACATTAAATCTCCAGATCACATTTTGAGTTCTAAGTTTGTAATATATCCACATATTTTAATGCATATTTCTTTCAAGAAACTTTCTTTTAGTGTAAAATCTCTTTAATGACAGTAGGTTTTTTAAAACTGTTTATTTTAAGCACATTTTTGCAGGACTGCACAATTTATGTGTGTTTTTAAATCATATCTGTGTAATATCAAATAGCATATAAACAGGAAATACTGTATTTTTTAGTGTGAAAATGTGTTTGTCAGAATTTCTTGTAAAATATTAATTTTATATATTTTATTAGCTGCTCCATCACCCAAAAGATTAAGAAGTGGGAAAAGAAACAGTGTTGCTGCTGTTACTAAAGGTAAATGAATTTAATTTAAAGATTAAATTAAGCTTCTAAAGAGTAAAACTTCTACTATATATTACAATACAGTGTCACAAATGTTATCATTGTAAATAGCTCACCAACTTCCTTTGATCATCATCAGTAATTATTTTATATAATTAGTAAAAAACAAGCTGAGAAGGAAATTTAGATTACTCTGACCTGATGCTTTAAGAGGTGAAATAGAATTTCATTCTACTAGAGTGTCAAGATGTCATTCTCTGGTTAATATGTTTATAGCTGCAAAAGCTGGGTGCCAGGTGATGTAATAAAAATGAGCCTTCTTGTGGATAATAAAATGGGGCATATGATCTAAAATAGGCACATGGCCAAATCTTTATCTGTATGGGGGTCAACTCCCATGAGTTTTATTTTAATGCCATCTGGCATTAAATAAGTGATACATAATAAAATATAAGAGACATATGATGGCAAAACTTCATTGTTTGTTGAACATGTTTACTTTCTGTTTAATATCAATTAAAGAATTTATAGACAAATATTTGGTCATGGACCTCTATATGCTGAAACACTATGTAAATAATATTTGAACAAGAGAATGGACAATTTTTTAAGATTAAGGTTGCATATATTAAGCTCTTTTTAACAGTTGAGCATTTGGATGGGATTCATTGTGTGGTAAATACAGTACAAAGTCCGAAATCCGGGCTCGTCTGGACTTCGGCGATTCCGGATTTGGGATTTTATGGATATTTGATCATCAGTTTAAATAAATCAGTTTTAATCTAGTAAGACAGCACGTAGAAATTATAAAATTAAAAGTATGAAATCATGATTTATAAAATAATGAAGTAGTTATATGATCTAAAGGGAATTAAAAAAATAATAATAATGAAAAAAAGAAGCTTAATATATATTTGTTTACCTTATTAAACATTTCTTTCAATGTAAGTTGTTTAAGCTGCTTCATTTTTTCTGCTAATACTTTCTCTTTAATTCTGTAACAGACAAAATCTCTTGTAGAGTTATGTTGTTGAAGTCCTGTGACTGCTGTTTCCAGAATTTCGACTAATTTGTCAATTGAAATTTGCTCGTTTTGAGTAACTTCTCTGTCACTTTCTTCACTATCGGTAGCAGTATTTTCTGAATCTAGAACTATACTACAGATTTTGCAATTCATTAATTGACTGATGATTGAGAAGCATTTTCATCAAAATGAAAAAACTTTTATATCATCTTCATTTATTTCCGCTTCTCCACATTTCTTTACAAAATCCGTTAATTGCAAAATTCACCTTTGTTTTGCGATATCCGAACCTTTAAAATTAGCAGCTATCATCATCAAATTTAGCTATCCTTCACTATACATATTTGGCTATGAATCATGAGCTTGGCGACTAATGACAAGTTGTTCCGTTAAATTTTATCTTGCTTCTATCGCGCACTAAGACAGTTAAGTCTGAATTTTATTAGTTTAGTTGTTTATTATACTTATGTCTATTTCTTGCACATGCATAAGGCTTATCAGAGTTCTGAATAAATAAACTCCGACATATACTTAAGCCTTATTGAGAGCCGGCACTAGTTATCTTATCGACTGAAGCAGTCTCTGTGGGTCCTAAATTCTGCGACTCGTTGCGATCATTCAAGCACTGGCGCTGGTTCTGGGTTTATGCGAATAACAAATCAGCTATTCATAATTCAAATAGCCCTAAATATAATCTTTGGGTCTATGAGTATTATCAGCAAAATCTATTTTTAGCATATGGAAATAAATTTTTAGTAAATTTTTCCTCGTCAACATTTTTCAGCGCATTTAACATAAATATGTAATCATCGCGAAGCGTAATGTGAACATAAAAGGTTACCATATTCCTTTATTATTCCATTACTAACATAAAAATATTGTTTAGGCATCGCTACATGAGTCATTACTCAAGTTGTCATGTTTTGATAAACATGCGGTGATGAAAGGAAAGTATAATAAGTAATGATTCACCGGGTTGGCGTCAGATCAATGATGTATGTATGGGGAATGTTTCGCTTTGAGATGTATGCAGCAATGGAGCCAAATTTCTGATCGTACAAATTTAAGCTAAAATGATTGTTTTTTCAATAACAAGGTATTTTATTTAGTGTCGAAGTGAAATTAAGGATCGGGACTTTCCAGATGTTTTATTATGCACGGAGGGGGGAATCAAATGCTAATTCATAAAAAAACGTTGTTGTTGGTTTTGAGGTTTGGATTTTAGATTATTCCGAATGATGGAAGTACGGATTTCGGACTTTGCACTGTATAGAGTATTTGTAGACTTTATTTTGCAGTGTAAATCTTATATTAGCATTACATAATGTGTTTAGTATTTTTTGGTTAACTATGGCATCAAGCATTTAATGTTGGCATAAAATTTAACTGCTGATAGGAATGGTAAGCATATACAGTACAAAGTCCGTAATCCGGACATCCATTATCCAGAATGATCTATAATCCGGACCTCAAAGCAGGGTTCGTAGCCGTCCTTACAAGTGCTTATAAGTCCTTATATTTGAAAATAAAATATAAGGGCCCTTATAGGTGCTTACTTTTTCTTTAAAGCCCTTATTTTTTTTTGTTTTTAGTGCTTATTTTTTTCTTTTAGTGCTTTTTTTAATGAACGCGCATTTTTCCTCCCGTACCAAAGCCGAAACTAAATAAACAACTTTTTTTCCTTATATGGAACGTCAGATGGTGAATCATACTCCCGGAAATACCTTCCCCCCCCTTCTCTGCATTAACGTAACCTATGGTGCGCGCGAGAGTATAGACAGGTGCACGTCGTTCTTTTGGTCAAAGAATTGCGAAAACCATAGAAAATTCCGGTAATTTGGTATTATTTTCCGCCCACCCAAATACTACACACGTTTGAATTTCTATCAAGATTTTAATTTGCATTCTCGTTCCACGTGGTCAGTTCATATTCGTGTTTATTATGATCGTTATGCTTATATTATGAGCATATGTATGAATATTTATAGTAATATAGTTGCAGTAGCTCCTGAAGTGTAGATAAACTTCCAAAAATGGGTGTATTTTCACACAGATTAGCTTTCTAAGGAATAATGTGCAGAATGGCTTAAATAAAAGGAAAGTAATCGAATAGTCAGAATATTCCCTCCCCCCCCCCAATACATTATACAGTACGGAGGTTGGGAGGTTCTCCCCTTTCTCCGCAAAATCTCTAGTATTGAAGCAGTGGACTTTTTTTTTTTTTTTTTTGTCACTGTCTAATCTGGATTGAATAGGACTAAAAGTTTTGCGATCTACCCAACCCAAGCAAAGAACGAAAATTGCGGAAATTTAACGCAATCTGTTCAAAATTAGAATCAAAAACACCCCAGATTAATAAGTCTTTTTTTCCTTTATTTAGTTCTTTATTCTCTGAATACCGGCAGTTGTTGATTCCAATTGCGTAATATCACATAGGGAAGAATTACGCCGCACGTATTGCGCAATATTGTTTGCGATATTTTGCAGATATAATTAATTTTGATGTTCATTCTGAGATTCATTTATGAACACTTAAAAGAGTTTTACTGTGCTTTCTAAGCAGAATATTTCTCAGTTCCGTTGGTCTATTTTTATATGATGCACATATCGAAATGTCAAAATCATTTATTTAGCCGAGAAATCTAAAGAATGGCTACAATCTCCCCCCCTCCTCTTTTTCCAGTTACGCCCGACTATACGGAATATTCGGCAATTTCCGAGTATGCGGGTTAGTTAAGCTTTTACTGTTTAAGGATGACTGCATGAAGCAATTTCCCGTCTCCTGATTTCAGAAATGTTCCTCTTTTTTACTTAAATTACTTTGCTTGGAATATATGTTAAGGGAAAACTGTTATGCAATGAAAATTTAGAAAATGTTCCAAATTTTGATTTAAATTATTTAAATATTAATATGAGTGGGAAAATAAATTGTATTTATTTATTAGGATGCCAAGCGAATACAATAATAAATATGGCTTATTATTAATTTATTTTCTACATTTTGAACTGAAATTTCATCATTAAATCTTGTAATATAGTTTAGTTCTGCTATTCTTTTTTTTCCTCTCATTGTAAACCTAATTCTGTAAATTGAACTGTTCATTTAAAATTAAAAAAAAAAAAAAAAAAAAAAAAACAAAAAAAATTGTTTTTTCCATGGTTGAGGTAATGCTCATTCTATCTTGATAAATATTGAATTAATACTGAATCTTAATAAATACTGAATTTTTAAATTGACCAAGTCTAATTTTTCTTTTAAGGTTATGCAGTTGTGTATAATTGTAATTAGATGGGTGCTTATTTTTTTTTTTCTTAAAATGTGCTTGAAAAGTGCTTATAGGTGCTTATTTTTTTTTAAACTAAAATGTGGCTATGAACCCTGTCAAAGCCAACTTACACATGCGTGTAATGCGTTTACACATGTGCGTAATGGGTTTATATATGCGTGTTTGATGCGCGCATTCGCTATGCATGCGCGTAAAGCCAGCAAAGCGTTTACACATGTACGCACTTCCGATAGTGAAGAAAGTGACAGAAAACGAAAACGAAATGTTATTGTTACTGAAAACGAAAAGAATTTCGATTGACAAGTTAGTCGGTATTCTCGACATGGCAATTACAGGACTTGAACTGTGGAACTTTGTAACTGAACAAGAAATTATGTTTGTTTATAGAATTAAAGAGAAAGTATTAGCACAAAAAATGAAGCAACTTTAAACAACTTATATTGAAAAAATATTTAATAAGTTAATTTTTTTTTTTTTTTTTGTAAATTTGATACCCTTTAGATCATAATTTCTCTTTATCTCATAAATTACGGTTTCATATTTTTAATTGTATAATTTCTGCTTGTCATCTTACCAGATTTAAATTGATGATCTATAATCTGAAAAAACCGCTAGTCCGGAATCGCCGAAGTCCCGACAAGTCCGGATTACGGACTTTGTACTGTATAAACAACTTCAGGAAAAGAATGGCTATTTTATCAAATACATGAAAAAAATGCCAAAAACAGAAACAGCAATACCTGTCATTATTCCAACTGCTAGGCATGCAGTAATTGATTCCTAGTTGCAGTTGATGGAATTCTTCTAATGTGTTCTCTTGAGATTTGAACTAAAGAAAGAAATTCTAGCTGTCAAAAGAAATGCATGTGCTTTTGAATCAGCACCTAGTGTAGTAGTATAGCTCTCTAAACTTTTATTTTTGCAAAATGATCTTTTGTCATAGTGCTATTTTGGTGTTTCAGTAGTATTAAAATTGTTTGTGGTTTTCCAACCATTTTCACTGTGTCTGATATTGTTTAGAAGACTTTAATAGGATCTACTCGTGGTTTGGCAATGGCCAAATTGTGTAATCCATATTGATGCTTCCTTTAAACTGCCAATTGGCCAGTGGTTTATTTGTGAAATCTGGAATTGCCCACAACTGCCATGAGAAAGGTATTTTCATGATTTCAGTACCAGAGTGGTCCTTGTACTTAATGTTACTTGATGATGTTAAAATAACACCCAGATTCTTTTTCTTTTTATACCTTAATTTCTTAAATATATTTCAAGATGTTTGTTTGTTTGCAAGATGCCTGCATTGTTTTTATTTTTAATTCTTTTTATGCACTGCAAGAAATTTTGAACCATCTCATTCTTTTTAACTTTGTCTTGACTATCATCTTAATGTCCATGTCATCTAAAATCATTTGCACAGAAGATGAAAATAACAAGTATTATTTTGACATCATCTTTGGTTGGGTAAGGACTTAAAACTGTGTGACTCAATGAAATGTTTAGACATTGAGTAAAAATTTAAATTGCTGGTTTTTACTTTAATCATGACTTTTTTCTAAAATATATTTCTGCTAATTGACAGATGAATTATAATTATTTTAAGCATGTCATTATTATTTTTGCAGTGAAAGAAGAACCTGTAAATAATTCTTTGGAGTGTGATAGTTCTGCTGTTGAAGGTAAATTAATTGCATTTTAAAACTGTGTTGCATATAAAGATGTTCAGCATTTGCTAGCTCATTTAAGATGATATTGTTTTCCATTATTTTTGTACGTTAAAGAAATATCAACTTTTTCTTTTTATAAAAATTAACTACCCCCAACTGGTTTCTCCTGTTCCTGGGCTGTGGAGTTGGAATTGGAGTTAGGTAGATTTTGGGGTAAAAGGAGTCTGAGCTGGAGTCACTAAAAAGAGCTTGACTTCGACTCCAGTTTTTGTTGGACAATTGGACACGAGTTTGAAATTAAATTAAAGTGAATTGAAAAAAAAATTAATGACAAGCTGAGTTATTTTTTAATTTTTGGACTACATTAATAAATAGTTATTTTCTATTTCATTGACATATTAATAAATAAATATAAGGGAGGAGGATAGATGTGATATTTGCCATTAGTGATTAAACTGATTTATTAGTTACTTCATTTAGTTACAAATCTCACTGGTAAATTTAGGTAAGCAGGAATAGTAGCAAGAACTTTCAAAATTGATGCCATTCATAGGAAGTGAGCAGGAAAAGGAGCAATTATGGTCAAGCAATGCTATGGGGAAGTACATATTTGATGATATAGAGGTTGTTAGAATTCAGAACATTTTTAGAAGATATAGATAATGCTTCACTAACAGAAATACTGTGGAATGATCTTACAGAATTGGAAACTCTTCTTTCTACACTATATATAGCCACAAAAAAGCTACAATATGAAATATTAACAGGAGGTGAGAATGGAAGAATGTGATGTTTGTACTTCCTGAAATGGAGGGTTTATTGCAGAAGGAATCACTTCTTCAATGAAGAAAAGAGAAACTAGTTTGCTAGAGAATGAGATCTTGCTGGGTTCAATATATGTAGATCCAAAACACCAAATTTCGTTTGATGATGAACAAATTAAGAAGGCAAAGAAATCCATCTATGAACTTTCAATAAGAATTAAATAAGTTAGTTTCAGAACAATTAGAATATTTAAATCGGGAAAGTCAAACTGCAGACATTACAACTGAGTCTCTTATCATCCTCTTTCAGGATGAATTAGATTTTGAGAAATAATTTTGGATCATATTGAAAAGGCTAAGGCAAAGTGAATGAAAATAAAGAACCAATAGCATTTACCGTAATTTTCGGAAGAAATGCTGCAGCGTTTACGTGTTTAAAACTTAAATTTTCAGCGGGTGCGGCGTTTAGGTGCACTAAAAATAAAATATTTCCTATGATGGTCATTGTACATAGTTTGGATGGCCTTGTCATTGTGCATAGATTGGTGCTGTTCCCACACAAAAGACCACTCAGTTGCTTTTTTGCGAACGTTATTTTTTGTTTACGTTCTTTCCCTTGAACGAACCTACATGCCTTATTCACCCTAAACGAGATCTCAGAACAATAACATTCTTCCCCCTTTCAAATCAACATTCTCATCAGTTTGAATAGTCCCTCTCCTCTGCCATTCGATGAATCTTCCAGGACCCATCCTCTTTCCACCCCTGCCTTTTCTGCAATTTTTTTCAAAGGCGGATGCGACTCCACCTGCCTCGCAATAACGAACTCTGAAGTATTTCCCCTTCAGCATGAATGGATTTTTCTTGGCATTCTGCCAAGTACAGATCCCATCAGTTAGGGTACAAGTACTTGTTGGATAGTTTTTAATTAGGGAACGGAAAATTTTTGAAAATGTCTCTAAACGGCACAGAAGCTATGCATTTCTTACCTTTAATTTATTTTTGAGTTATGGTTTCATTTCATGCATTTTTCTTAACTGGTATGTCTGAGTTTTTGCATCTATACGGCCCATGACGATGTCACGCGCAATTTAATCTATTGCGGCGTTTCTGTGTGATTTTAATTTTTTTTCCCGCCATTTTTCTCGAGTGCGGCATTTACGCTGATGCGGCCTTTCTTCCGGAAATTACGGTAGATATAAAAATGAAAAAATACAAACAAGATTTCTACAGGGCCTTTGAAGAAATAGAGAAATATGATTGAGCTTGCAAGACACCTCTTTTAGAACTTATAAAAATCTATCCTGAAAAGTTAAAAGAAGTAGCCCTAACAGTAACATCTCTTCCTCCTACTTCAGTCAGAGTGAGAAGACTCACTCTGACTGAAGTCTGAAGTTTATCAAATTGGATCTATGGCCCTCCAACAAAGATCTTGCCGAAGCTATACTGTTTTCTTAGAAATAACTAATGCCAGTTTTTCCATTTCATAATAAATGCTAATTTAATATAAATAATTGCTATGCCATATTTTTTTTTGTAGCATCCATTACTTCTTTTATATTAGAGAAATAAGTTGTAGCCCATGTGTATATGTTTACACACACATATATATGTATGAAGGAGTCTTTAAAATTCCAGGAGTTGGAGTCGGTCATTTTCCCTAGCGACTCCACAGCCCTGGTTTGAAGCAGTTGCACATTTCCTTTGTTTATCGAAACATTCAGTGATTTGCCATTAAGACCAGTGTGTTTTAACGTATTTGTCAGTAAACATTCTGCAGCTATATCAAAAGTATAAGAAATGTGTAAATTTTTGCACGTTATACTTACATTTATGATATAACTACAGAATATTTACCATGTTGCTAACATGGTAAACTACAATATTTCAGAGTCCTAACTATTTGAAAGATTAATTTTTAAGCAATATTTCATTCTAAATGGAATGCTAATACCTTTGTTGTGCTCAGAACAAGTTCTAACTTAAATGAAATAGTTTCCCAAATTTTTGTTAATTACATTAGAAATTTTTATTTGGTTCACAATTACAAATATTTAAATCAAAGTTTTATGGTATTGTTAATATTAAAGTCACGCATAATATCTTTTCTCTTTACGGAGTCTCTGTATTTTCTGTTTCAGAGTCTCTATTACAGAGTTCTCAAGTATGAGTTCCCCCCCCTCTGAAATTTATGAGATTTATGTAATCTATTAGAGCTAAGGGAGGAGGATGGGGAAGTTTTTCCCCCAAGACTTGAAGCTGAATTTTTAATACTTTTTAAAATGTTGTCCTTGTATTCAACAATAGGCATTCAAAAAATTTTACTTAACAATTGTTATAAGTGTGTGTAGCATCTCACATTCTGTGCTTTCCATAACCTTTTTAGACTGTTTTCCAGGACAATACTTCCTGCTTAAACAATTTATAAATATATATATGGCAGTGATACTTTTAATTTTTTTTACTATTAAATGTTAGTCATTACATAGTATATATTTAATAAATAGATTTCTTGATATTAAAAAATATATAGTTTATGAATGAATAGATCATTCATTTTCTGATACATTTATAATTAATATTTACATAGCTAATTAAAGAAAATATGTGTTTCTTAGAATGATGTGTGCATATAAATATTTATATATATTTAAAGAAATTTCTTTTTCGACACGTGGAAGATTTTTTATCATTTATGTATTCTCTGTGCTTTTCCAGTAAGGTAATTTGCAATCATTTAGCATATACCAGAATTTTTATCTAAGAAATATGTGTCATTTGAACAAAAATTATTTACATTAGTTTAATGTAATATTACAAAAATATACTTTTAATTTACTGTTCTTTAATTTTCTTGTCGTTAACCTCACCACTGACCAAGCAGTTAAATACTGCTGAATGCTGGTTGTTTGTCTTGCATTCAAACATGGGTGAATGGACTGTCTGCATGATTGATTTTTATTCATTTTCTTATGTGTCAAATGAATATGGATCTGTTTTTCTTAGAAAATCCTCCACTAAGGCTTCTCTCCTCTTAGGTGGATTTGGCCTTGTGTGTTTTGCCATACTCAAATAACCAAACCATCTTTTTGACTTTATGGATGCAGTTTGCTGTTAATGCCATTTTCATCTATTTAAATATTTAACCAAGTAATCCATTTTTCATAAACATTGGTAGATGCAATGCTTTCTTTATAGGCTATCATAGATGACCTTTTTATTTCCAAAGCAACTGCCTCTTCTCCCATGATGTAGTGTTCATATTCTCCTAATTTCATATCAAGTTTATGTCTAAATAAAAAGTATTTGGTCTTGTTAATGGACGACAATACTCGCCTATGTTGAGCTTATCTGGAAAGTGATGATATTCACTGTATGGATTGGCTGGCCAAATTTCCTGACCTTAACCTGTTAGAGCACGTATGGGATTATTTTGGGAGGGCAATTTCATCTCACCATCCCTGTCTGAGAATCATGCAAGAGTGGGATCAACTCTATCCTGTATGTTGTGCGACCTGTCTAGCTGTGAGAGGGGACCATGTCCCATATTAGTCTCATTTTCAGTTTGATATCACAGCATGGATTTGGACATCCCTGCATTATGAACTTTAGTGATAATCATGCATACTATAAATGTATATGCATATCAAATTTCATTAATGGTTCTTCAGAAATTCAACATAATGTGTAAATTTTCTTAATTTTGCACACAAGTGTATTTCATTCATAGGTGCAAAGGTTTTTGCATCTGTGCATTGTCGAGTTAAGTTCCATCTGAGTAATGTGAGCAGAAGTGCCCCATCCCTTTAGATTATTAGAAGCTTGAGAAAGCACTGTTTTATCCACAGACGAAAAAGGCATCTACTTCTAGTCCTTCCTCCATGCTGTAAACTTATGTACCCCAAAATTGATTCTTGTACAGAAAGTACAAGTTTTGAAAATTGATTATATCATTTTAATTATAAAAGCATTTCCTTGGTATATTGGAAAGTTATTTTAAATCATGAGGTAGGAACTTGAAGATCTTAAACTGAACTAAAATGTAATACTTATTTTATAAATGACTTTTTTCTTTTCTTAAAATTTTATTTAAACTACGAAAAGTATAGTAGAATGTTGTTCAAGCAAACTTGCAGAGTTCTTTATCACTTCAAATACACAGAAATTCAGCTAAGTGGGTAGATACCAAAATTTATTCTGTACTTATACTGCACTATTCTAGAGGTGACACAGGATGATCCTTTTCACCTGTATGAAATACGTAAACTTTATTTCAGAAGGATGGTATAAGTTCTTTTTAGGCATATTGTAAGGATTATGTTAATTTTATTAACAGTTAAATTTTCAGTTAAACTACTTTCCTGTCAAATTCTTAACTTCAACTTACAACTTCCGGCCAGAATGTAGTTTTAGAATCACGTCTGAATACATAATGAGGAAGAGCAGTATTTAACCGCGAAGTTCTACTTGCTGAGTTGAGAGGGAATCAAGAGTTTCTGATTAGCACACATCCGCCTCTCTCTCAAAGCTGTTATTATTATGTATCTATTATGCTCGGCCGTACTCAGGCTCTTGATAGCTTCGTAGTCAATTAGCGTTAAGGGGTCAACTCGGTTAGAATCTTGATAGCTTCGGCTCTATCTCTTTAATTTAGATTATTTTTAGTTTACTTTGTAGCCCAAGTGTCGGCTTTTATTGTACACTCCAAGACGGAGTTCTGTTAAATTTTATCTGAATAATAAAGGGTTATTTACCCTTCCATCTTGTTGCACGACCTCAAGCGATTGTTCGCTTACTAGTTCTTAAGATTCTTCACGTTCAACAGTAACTTAGCATTTACAAAGTGTGGAACTCTACAATATAATTTCAAAGTGCCATTTCAATCCTTTATAGCAGTGGTCTCAAATTGCTTGCAGGCCTAATGCACAATCTAAAAGAGCTGGAAGCCACAGCTCTCTCTCTCTCTCTTTTTTTTTTTTTTTAAATAAAAGAATTTTTTATAAATTTAAATTTCCCTTACTAAATATTTATCAAAACATTCAAAACAGTAATAATAACATGTCAAAGGGGAAAAAATCAGATTTTTATTTGTTTTCTATTTGAAATCTAAAGATTAGTACGTGTGAGATATTTTTGTTGGTTACACATTGTAATTCAAAATTTTGAGAGCTACATATTATATTCTTAGACTGACATTTCTTGTAAATAATTTAAACTAAAAGTAAACAAATTATGAAAATGTGATAAATTTTCAGAAAAATTTAGCTCGTGGGACAATAAATAATAACAATCTAGTCTCTTTCTCTTATTTATTAAATTTTTCTTTAATGGTAAATAAAAATGCATACATCTGTGTATAAATAATTAGAAACTTCATTTCAAACTTTAGCTTGACACTTGATGGCATTTCGATTCTGATAAAGTTTGTAGCCTTGGAGAGCAATCACTGTAAATTATCTTCAACGTGTGTGTACTATGGCAGTACAAACATGTACCACATAGTTCATTACTGTAAATGCTTTGAGAAGCCTTCAATTGCTGTCTTTTTTTTTTTTTTTTTTTGTCGTCTCACCATGCATTTTAGATAATAATTTGATGCAGTGCAGATGCAGTATAAGTACCTAAACATTTTTATCCACGTTCCATCAGTGCCCACTGATCACATTAAAGCACATCTAAGATACCATTATCCTTAGAAATAGAGGGTACTGAGCAACAAATACCTTGAAAGGAAGATGCTGATTGAAAAATTTTGAGAACTAAGCTCTAAACCCTCTAAAGATCCATACTACTTCTGTTCTATATGTAGATAAATTTCTTTACTTTGCTATAAACTTTACTTTGCTATGTTTTTACTTTACTGGTTTATAACTTTGATATTATTAATGTGTCTGTTCTAATCCCTAGATAACTACACCCAGTGGGTTCTTCTTCAAGATTTAGGGAGCAAAATATCAACAAAACCAGGCGTTTATGAATTGAAAGTGTGGCGTGCCAAAAAATCAGCATTCATTGGGAGTTGCGAAAATTTGCATCAGAAACTTGAATTGCATAAATTAGGTCAGAACTCTGGCCATAAGCATTTGGATAAATTCCTTGAAAGAAACAAAAATGATGTGTTAGTGCGATATGAAGAAATGCCCTCATTTATGGTAGCAAAAGCAGAAGAAAAAAAAAGAGTTGAATCGTTCATTACATTGCACAAAACTACTCCAGCATACAATTAAATTTAAGTACTGGAAATTTTATTATTATTATTATTTTAATTTGGAAAACAACTAAGATTTTTTAATGCATTTCATCTCTTCTCATAGCTGTTTTTAAGAAGTACTAGAATCAACATTTTATTTTAATAGAATTTTCTTACTGATGAGATGGATAAAAGAAGTTTTTATTGCTAAGTAATTATATTTTTAGATAATGTATTTACAGATTATTTGATGCAAGATGATTAAAGTTATTTTCTCATCTCAAAATTTGTAAAATTATTAGTCTTAAAAGGTATGGCACTTTAAGTTAGAAACTGGAAAATCTGGTAGATATTTTATGAAACATTTTTGTTGTACAATAGCATGTAAATTAATTTGTTAAAAACTTTTACTCATCAATAATAAAACAGCCAAGAAATCACCAAATCATCTACAGTCACATCGATTACAAAATAATTGATAGATAGCCATTTCCTCTAAATCCCAATAAAACAAGACCGCAGGCTTTAAAACTTAAGGAGGTAAAATCCTAGTAAAGTGAAAATGAGACTATTGTCCTATGCCAGTAGTAGAATTTGGTTATAGGAATTGGAACTGAAAGGAGTTCCGTTTATATAAATATGTTCTAATAGTAAATGTGATACAGAGATAAATATTCATCTGACATTTCTGGTAACCGAAACATAATCATATGTAAAATCGGAGAAAAAGTACAAATACAAGATGATGCACATGAGCTATACACAAAATCTGCAATATATTCATTGAAGCTGTTAAAGAAAAAATATATTTAATATATTTGCAAGCCAGTATAAATACTAACTTGGGTATTTTAAATGAAGTTTAAGTCCTCTCACTCAAAGTACAGCTGGTGTGTAAAAACTCCATCTGTTTCCATGTATTTAAAAAGAGCAATATCAGATAAAATTAGCTGTTAAATGTATATTTTAATATTTTCGTTCTGAATTATTTGTATGAAGTTTCTGATTGCGAAAGCTGGGATTTCTAACAAAATATTGGCAGGATTTTGAAACTTCAAAAAGTTGCCAAAACGATGTCTAATGTTATATATAGTACATACGAGGGCCATCCAGGAAGTAGATTACGTTTCCGTCTGTGCCGCAGGGGCGGGGGCTACGCGGCATCTTGGGGGTCAGGGCCCGCAGCTCAGTCTGCATCTGCCGGCTAGTGAGAGGTTCGTGCTGTGCTCCGTTCAGATACTGTGACGGTTTGAAATGTCTGCGTTAATGAAAATCCGTGAGCTGGAGGTGCGCTCAGTAATAAGGTTTCTGACTGCAAAAACTGTAAACATAGAAATCTATCGGCAGCTTCGTGAAGGTTGGGGACAACATATCACTGAAGGGGAGTGCGTCAGTGGGTCATAAGATTTCAAATGGCCGAACCAATTTCACGACGAAGATCGAGTGGGAGACCCACTAGGACCGCCGAACTTCTCGAAAAAGCGATGCAAGTCGTGAAAATCAGAAATTTCACAATAACGGAACTTTCTTTCCAAGTTTCCACAAATTTCGGAAGTTGTTGCACGAAATCAGCAGGAAAAGCTTGGTTACCACAAGTTTGTGCAAGAGGATTCCAAAAATCTTACAGAGGACCACAAAAATCAGCGATGGCTGCAGCGTTGAACTTTTTGACGCTTACCATAAGGTGGGGACTCTTTACTCGATCGCATCGTTACTGGTGACGAAACAGGGTGAAACATGTGAACCTGTGAAACGAAATTGCAATCAACAGGGGGGCACACAAGTTTCCCCAAAACCCAAGAAATGCATGCAAACAATGTCGGCAGAAGATGATGGCGACTGTTTTTGGACAGAAAGGTGTAATTTTGGTGGACTTCCTGAAAGGCACTACAATAAACTCTCAGGTATTGCCAACCTCTCCAAACTCAGAAGAGCAATTCAAAACAAGCGAGGAAGTGAGCTCTCAAGATCTTGTTGATTCACGACAACGCCCGGCCCCACACGGCAAATGTCACTCGTAAAGTTCTTGAATCTTTTAAGTGGGAGTTGTTTCCTCATCCGCCGTACAGTCCCGACTGGCCAACGGCGACTTCCACCTATTAGGCAATGAAGAAGTGGGCTGGCTATGCAGCGTTGATGACGACGCACAGCTGCAAGAAGAGGTAACGAGTGGTGAAGGCGAGGCGGCCGAATTTTTCGACGAAGGAATTTCCACTCGTACATCGCACGATAAATGCCTTAATTTGTATGGTGACTAGTAGAAAGTAGTATTTGAGGTGGCTTTCATCTGTATATAATAAAATTGGTTCTATACTTTGTTTGTTTTTTTATTCCAAAACGTAATCTACTTTCTGGATAGCCCTCGTATAAACATGCCATCTTAACATCATGGGCCCCTGGGCAAGTGCCCTGCGAGTCCATTTGTTAAAACGGCCCTATACATATTTTCAACTGTCAATGTGCATAGATTTTTTTCTCCTAATTTTGATCACATTATGTAATAAATGAGAAAATAGTTTGAAGTTTTTTTGTGCATTAATTATTTATTCAATTTATGATATTCTAATTCATGCAAATAATTTCACTGCCCTGCTGTATCGAAGTCTATTCGATGTTTTTCTAAATTTTTGATTTGTTATTTGAAGTAAAATTGGTAGACTGGCTTTATTTAGAGTGCTCAGAATGCAGTTTTTTTTTACATTTCTCAATTTGATAAATATAACTGTTGTAAAATATATTAGTGCTTTATACGTTTTTTTACTGTACATCATCTGTACTATGCACTCAATCCATATTCAGCGAAAGGATTACTACATGCAACATATATCATAGGCACAAGCACAACACAAACCTGCAATATGACACATTTTATAAAAGTGATTTTTTTCTGAATTTTTGTCACATTTTTTAAACTTTAAAATTCTTCCTGTATTTAGCTCATCTTGACAAAAAGATCATGAAATGTTATAAAATTGTGACCAAGCTTTGACTGACAGAAACATATGCTACTAACCATAACCAATAAACAAACTAAGTTCATACTTGAATGAATGCATGCAAATAAAGGTACTGCACTTATCTATTTGTTTACTAACTTATATCTTTTTCTTTTATCTTCATTTCATATAATTTTTCCCTCAAAAATATTGCAAGTTCAAGGTTTTCAGACCATCCTTGCAAATAATGAAATTGTAGTCCTTAAGAAATTGGTTGAGAATATTCTAATAAGATTTCTCTTTTGGAAGACCTCAAATTTAAATATTGAGGAGACAATGCACAGGCCTTGCTGAACAATTCACAGCATTTTTGTTTGCAGTTGGCTCAGTGGCTAGCTAGACTAGGGTGGATGGCAGGTTTTCCTTGAAACATTATTTTATAGGGTTTAAATAGGTGGATCTTCAACGCTTTTGTTATACTGTCGAAACTTGAATGAAAATTACAAATATCAACTAATGATGATCACTATATTGCCGCCAACCAGTATAGTGGTTAGCATCACAGACTGCTGTGCTCGGGTTCGAATCCCGGAGAAGGCATTTTTTTTTTTTTTTTTGGTAGTTATTTGCGTGTATATCAAGAGTTACAAAAATAGGGACCGTCCCAGCGGCAACAGTTTTAGCTGTGCCACTGATTTCCCGATGATATTAAATTTGAGATCATCATCCAACAATTTGTTTCTAATGTAGTAATAGATGTTGTTAATGAACCATCAGAATTTTACATTGCTGTACTTGCAGTTAGTGGCAATCGTATTATATATAGTAGATAGAGTACAGTTATTAACTGGAAGTCCGTGGCAAACGGTGGCCGTTTTAATGTTTTGTAATTGCATAATTTGTTAACCATTTGCAGTTACAATTTGTAAAATAAACATCTTATGCTATGTGGAATGACAGCAAATTGGGAACTTACTTACTTGGAGGCCACTGTCAAGATAAAACGTTTAAGTGTCAGGTTTCAAGTGCAACACTTGTCGTGCTGGTGTGTAAAGACCTGCTAGCATAGTATAACTTTATGTGACTTTCAAATTTTGTAATATGAGAGGCATTTCTGATAGTAAACATGCAAGATGTTTAAACCAATTAATAAAATAAAGCTGTATTTAATAATTTTACACAAAAAAGTATATTATTCACAATTGTGTGGAATTGTGCAGTTGTGGAATCCGATTTGACAAAACAGACCAAGTCTTGTGGAATTGAACCACATTCTTTCAAAAGTACACCTTTTCAGCTGCTGGAGGAATTTCGCATTGGCAAACATCCTACACATGCTCAATCTTGTTCAAGTCGGATGAATAAGGTGGCCAATTCATTAGAGTGATATCTTCTGTTTGCAAATATTTTGACACCACATATCCTCGATCAGGCTGAACATTTTCATCCTTTAGCAAAAAACTGGGCCAACAGCACCCCTAAACAGTCTAATTTAGCGTTCCAATAACTTGTCCAAATATCTCCGAGTAGGTACGGAACTTTCCAGAATGATGTGCAGCCATTTGTTATGATTCTTCACCAAAACCATTAAACCGCAGTCATGGGAATGAGATATTTCACGGACAAGGGAAGGCAAGTTGCATGCCCCCTTCCTCTCTCTCTCCAGATCAAAATATGTCTAGAATCACTGTTCATACTATATCTGGACTCACCAGAAAACAATACTGGGACCATATTGTCTTGGCTCCATTGAACATTACGACAGTACCAGTTTAAACAGGCCCCTCTGAAAGCTGGAGTGAGTGGGACGCAAATCATTGGTTCTCTTGCGTGAGTCCAACCTTAAGCCTTCGTGCAACAGTAGAATGGCGAGTTCGTGTGGCAGCCTGAAGGTCTGAAACTAAATCTCTTGTAGTCACTTCGAGCTGATGACTGGAACCATTCTTCTAATGCAGTTGCAATCAGTCACCCTTGACCAGGCTGTTTATGAACTGATGTGCTTAAAAAGTGGCTTCAAACTCATGATATGACACTTTGAGGGATATTCAAATATTGGACAACCTTGTGTTGTGACCTGACTCGATTCTACCAATTATGCACTACTTTTGACCATCACTTAAATGAAGCCTTCAGAGCTATAACTACTGAATATTGATCACTCTCAGAAACTACATTCACTTTAAACAACACAACAGACTCAACATGCATCCATTGTGCATCACATTGTCAACCACTGAATTTTCATATTTCCAGCACTTTTGTATGAGCAGAAGTACAATTTTGAGTTCAGTTGCAGTCAATTAACATAAATAATTACAGCATTGAGCATTGCTTGCAACATTAACTTTGTGAGTATATTTTTTCTCATTATCCTTTCATTTTGATGGCCATTGTATATTACAAAATGATTTAAAGTTCTTTTTTCGAAAGATGTTAGCTATAATATGCCTAAAGGTAACTGCTCAGCAATTTCATATGTAATACTATATAGGATTCTGTTATTTAATCAGCATTTGTTGTCTTTCATTACATGAGTTATGTATTAATAAAATTTAAGCATTTGTTCTAAAAGCAGTGATGCTGATCAAATAAATAAAATTATTTGTACTTCATTTACAAGCATAGTTCGAATATTCCAATTGCTGACTATAGTTCCGAGTATTCCATGTGACTACTGAAGTAAGGTTTTTTTAAAAAAAATTGTTATACATATGAAAATTTGAGAGTAGTTTATTTCGAGTACATGTAAAAGTAATTACAAGAATAATGCTCATACAGTTTGCAACTGAAATTTGTTAAGATTTTACCAAAAAGTAAAACCACCCCTTGACTATCTGGCATGTAATTAACTACTAAAAAGTGAAATCAACCAGAATACTTACATTTTAAAATCCACCCTCTTGAAAATTAAATAAATAGGAGACTTTCAAAAAATGTATTCAAGCATAGAAGTTACTGTCATCAGATAACTTAATGTGAATATCAACCCAATTATAAATGTCCTTCTTTGGCTTAGTTTTAATAGCTATTAAAACAGCATAGTATTTGATTATCACATAAACATTTTAAAGAAAGCGTGAGTGTAATCGGTTTTCAGAATTAAAAGAAGCAGAGATGTGTAAGAGGAAGCCAGTGCCAATACAATTACTGAATTAAGGCTGGATTTTAGTGCTATACACGATTTTGCCAGCTCTGTATGATCAATTATTTGGCTCCATAGCTGCCTTTCTGTCTGGCCTATATCTCAAACCAAAACATTTTACACTGAAACATCACTGAGTTTACACCTACTGAATAAACATCATACAAACTGGGAAATAATTTTTTGTTATTTTTTTCTTTCATCTCTGCATGATTTTCAACACATGGCAACTTGAAAAAAATGACAGCAATGTATACACATTTTCTTAAAAATATTAGTAAATGGATACCAAAGAACATGGTAACATTTTATGTTGACATTACATTTGGTGGTGATACCAGATTTCAGACAACTGTGCTGAGAAGTGTTGAGTATGTTAATAAGGAGAAATTTCCATATGCAAAAAATAGATTTTGTAAATGATACTCATAGTCCAAAAAATTACATTTAATGCTGTTTGAATTGAGAATAATTGATTTGTTATTCAAATAAGCCAGGACCGGCACTAGAGCTGGTGTGAATGTACTGGACAGCAGAATTTAGGAGAGCCAACATTTTTAAAATTTAGAGAACTACCAAGCAATAGAATTAAAGGATGGTGAAACCTCTAGAGTTTTGACTTGGATGTAAAATTTAGGGTCGACAAAATTTTTAGTATTTAGCGAGGTGCATTGCAGCAGATTTAATTCCCGGGCTGCAAAATGTCTAGTGCTGGTCCTGGATTAGCTTTAAGTATAGGTGGGAATTTATTTATTTGGGACTCATTTATTTGGGCATGTTCATGAAATAGGTGTTATATAATTTGGGCTTAACTTTGTCAGTATGCGATAGAAACGAGACAAATTTTAGAACAACATGTCATTTCATTAATATCATGATGCATCACTAATACTGTATAGCGGATGCTAGCTAAACTTTATGATGACGGCCATTAATTTCAAAGTTTTTCAAATATAAACAAAAAGCAAAATTTTTCAAATAAATGGAATTTGTGAATAAACGAGGAAAAGTGGTAAAAAATAAAGATGATATAACATAAGTTTTTCATTACAATGTCCCAACAATGAATCAACAAATGAACAGTGAAATCTGTAGTATGGCTGTATATCCTGAAAATATTGATACTGACCGTGAAGAAGATGACAACGAGGTTGTTGATTGACAATTTAATGGGAATTCTAAATATGACAACTACAGAACTCGAACAATGAAACTTAATGACTGAATAAAAAAGCCTATATACAGAATTTTAGTATTACTACTAAAAAAGTGATGCAACACAAATGATTTACATTGAAATAAATGTTTAATAAAGCAAACACATACTAAGTTTTTTTTTTTTTTTTTTGTTGTTGTTTTGTAAATTTTGATTTTCTTAAATTCACAAGTGCTTCATTATTACATAAACCACTATTTCATATTTTTAATTTTATAATTTCTACATGTCATCTTACTAGATTTAAACTGATGATCTAATATTCAGAAGAATTCCAACCCGGAGTAGTCAGATTCCTGACGAATCCAAACTTTGGACTGTATATTGCTTTTATATGATAAAGTGCAGGAACCTTTTTCAAAAATTTTATAGCTCATTACTATTATTGTTTAACACTGGTTTCTGTACCTAATGATAAAATGAAAAAATCAAAAATGACTGAATTATATTACTGTGATTAAATTTATCTTGCAGATAACACTAAATAATTAAACACTGTTCTAAGTACTTGTATCTAGATTCATATATATATATAGTATATAAATATAAGACTTGCTTACCATAAGAGAGTAATAACTGTATATTTAAAATTTCACCTGCAAGAATTTTAAAAGTTGCTAACTTATCATTAAAATATCTGCACTGGACATACTAAATACTAAAAAATAAATAAAACCCAAGGCTATTTAATTATTTTTCAACATACTGTATAAAAATATTAGTAAACCTTCATATTTAAACAAAACAATGACCAAGTGCCAGATCTGGTTAGTTTTCATTTATCTGCAAAGCTTAATTATCATGGGAACCATTAAGATGGGCTTTCATTATCCTTGAATAGAAAACAAAAATTAGTTTTCAGTTTTTTTAGCCTTTGTTTTGGCATTCTGCATTGATACTATAAACAGTGAATTACTTTTTAAATTGTTTCCACCAAATATTAGAGCCCTGTGTTATATTGAAGAAATTAAATAATGAAGAATCTGCATAAATGTATGTATGTTTCTCCCATTTTGATAAAACAAACAGTACCTAGAGCCATCCAATTTTGAATAAGGTATGTCTCTACCCAAATATGGCTATCTGGAAGCTCAAATTTGGAATTTATTTTATTATCTATTTCATATTTTGTAAAGCATTTATGAGTCTTTGATGCGGAGACTGAACTATTTAAAAGCAAGCAGTGGAAACACTATAAAAAAAAAAAAAAAAAAAAAAAAAACTAGCGCGCGAGACTGTGTATCGGAAATCTTAAAGCTACACTCTTTTTAAAGTATTTTGAGATATTGCTGTTGAATTGAATTTTATGGTCGAAGAACATGATATTTAATAAATAAAGGTAACACACAAAATGTTAAATAAGCAATGGCAACACTGTATGGGGAAAAAAGTTATCTCCAGCGTGCGAAACTGTATCAGAAATTCTAAAGATATGCTCATTTTAAAATTATTCTGCGACATTGCTGTTGAATTGAATTTTATGGTTTAAGTGCAAAGAACATGGTATTTAAGAAATAAAGGTAACATACAAAATGTTAAAAAAACACCTCTTTGGGTATAATGTAAAATCTGAAAGCTTTCAGAATTTTTTGAAAAGATATTTTATACGACTTTAACAGAGACTGTAAACATAAAGCACTTGACAAGCATTTACCCATAGTAATGAAGAAGAAGAAACCTGATCTGTCAACAAAACTTAGATTTTACTCAATGGCAACATAATGCAAATACGGCTGTGATTTCGGCAGCACAATATAATACTGATCATTCCAACCTACAATAGAGTTAAGATGGGTAAAGTGCAGAATCGCCCACTTATTTGTTTGGCACTTTGTACAAGAGTGAGAAGAATTGGATTTTTGTCAATTTTCTTTAACTTAATGATGAGTAACTTAGTTAGTTCTTTAATTTAAGTGAAAATAGGTCGATGTGAACATGGATCAAGGGAGTGCACAATGCTGTTTTTGTGCAATTCTGGGATTTTTTTTAAAGTGAAAATAGGTCGATGAGTACATAGATACGAGTTTGTGCAATTCATAAAAACATGCCAAGCAGTGGTTGATTTTGCACTTTCCCCATTAAGATAACCTTAATTTAGCAATATCTGACTTCTAATCCTTTCAATATTTAAAATATAGCTACATGGTAGATTCTCTTTCAATCAGGAAGTGGAAAAATGTCAAACTGCTATGCTAAAACAATGCTACAAAACAGTAACTATTTTCAAAACATTGTGAAAAAAAGCAATGGTAGGATCATAATTTGGGATTTAACACATTTTGACTCATAGTCATCTGATTCTGAATAATAAGCTCAATCTGAATATTTTAAATCAGGTTAAGCATACAGTGTCTAGGCTTTCATATGAGGGCTTCTTATATATAATGGATAAGCAAATGTTCTTTAAAATTACTTGTAAATTATATTGCATATATTAAGATTTTCTTTCGTGGAGAGAAATAAACAGCTTTATAAGCATTTAGATCAAATCAAAAGTTATACATCTTGCATAATCAGGCTTCTTTGCTGCACTGAAAGTCCTTACTACATGAAAAAATAAAGGTTTCAGTTTAACAGTTTTAGTCATGAGAAAGGAGGTTTTTCTTTGAAGATAAACATATGTATTTTCTATTCAAATGATTTGTTAAATATATAACTCACAAAGTTTCTCTCTCTAGTATGACTAATGATGTATTTTTTAAAATAAAACTTTAGTTAAAATGATTTATTCATAACTGATACAAATAATGCTCCTATATCAGTAAGCATATGCTTGTTTAAATCACATTTTATAATCATCATACTTTACCTCACTTTTCTCCTGGATGAATAAGGGCATTCTGACTTAAACTACCCTTTACTCTTAATAACTTGTTACATACCTCATACGCATATGGTTTCTCTCCTGTGTGAAGAAGCATATGCTTGTTTAAATGAACCTTTTGTCTATATGCTTTGTTACATACATCACACACATAAGGTTTTTCTCCAGTGTGAAGAAGCATATGCCTCTTTAAATTATACTTCCGTCTATATCTATTATCACATACCTCACACACATAAGGTTTCTCTTCTGTGTGAAATAGCATATGCTGGTCTAAATTATACTTTCGTCTAAATGACTTGTTACATACCTCACATACATGAGATTTCTCATTTTTGTGAGCACGCAAATGCTTGTTTAAATTACTCTTTCTGCTAAATGATTTGTTACATACCTCGCATACATGACATTTCTCACTTCTGTGAATATGCATATGTTCATTAAAATTACTCTTTCGTTTAAAAGATTTATTACAAACCTCACATACATGAGGCTTTTCTCCTGTGTGATTAAGCATATGCACATTTAATCTACACTTTTGTCTAAAAGACTTATCGCATACCTGACATACAAAAGGCTTTTCTCCTGTATGAATAAGCATATGCCTATTTAAATCACCTTTTACTCTGAACAACTTGTTACATACCTCACACACAAAAGTCTTTTGTTCCTTGTGAATAAGCATATGCTTGTTTAATTTAGGCTTGTCTCTAAATGACTTTTTACACAACTCGCATACATATGGTCTTTCTCCTGTATGAATTCGCATATGTTTGTATAAATTATTCTTTATTCTGAATGATTTGTGGCATAAATCACACACATGTGGTTTCTCTCCTGTATGAATAAGTATATGTTTGTTTAAAGAATCCTTTTTTATAAATGACTTTTTACACACCTCACATAAATGCAGTCTTTCTCTTATGTGAACAGGTCCATCTGTTGTGTGAATAAGCATATGTTGGTTTAAACTGTCCTTTAGTCTGTATGATTTGTGGCATAACTTACACACATAAGGTTTCTCTCCTGTATGAATAAGTATATGCTTGTTTAAAGAATCCCTTTTCGTATATGACTTGTCGCATATCTCGCATACATGAGCTTTCTCACCTGTGTGTATAAGAATATGATTGCTTAAATGACTATTCCGTGTAAATGACTTACTACATAGCTCACACATAAAAGGTTTCTCTCCTGTGTGAATAAGGATATGCTTTTTTAAAGAAGCTTTCAATCTAAATGATTCGTGACATACCTCACAAACATGAGGTTTCTCTCCTGTATGAATACGTATATGCATGTTTAAATTACTCTTTGTTGTAAATATCTTATTACAAACCTCACACACGTGAGGTTTCACTGCTATGAGGTCATCCATGTACTAGTTACATACCTCAGGATATTATTCCTGTTCTGAATGTATGTAACATGGGCCGGCTTAAGGTAATTTTACCCAAAATAGTTGTCAAATATTTCACTAGCTTTCAGTACCTTGGCCAGATATAAATTTGATTTTTGTTATAAAATGTTAATACACATTGTGCTCAAGACACAGGTACTGTACGATATACATACGATATGATTTCTAGGAACATTTATATATTTCCGCAAATATAAGTTTGTTATATTTAGCCCAAATATGATTTCTGGCAGAGGCATATAAATCCTTAATTATGAATAACTGCAATTATATATGCTACGTAACGACTTCATGAGGTTTTGAATTTTCTAAAGTTTTTAAAGTAGGACTTAACAGTTTGAAGTTTTCACATATCCACATATTAACAGTTTAACAGTTTCCACATATCACCGTTCACAATATGCACAGTATTTTTCAGCACGAAAAGGAAATTTCATATTAATTTGTAACAAAGGCTTCCTATTCATTGATTCTACTTCTTCTTGAAGCTTGGCTTCCCTTTGGCGCCTTATGCTCCGGCTCAGATATGATGTTATTTACATGTTAAACCACAAGGACGCATACCCCCCAATTACGTCGGTTCGAAATATTCATTGATTAAAACATAAACAAGAACCAAAACAACCTCGACTCATCTTACAAAACCCTGAGTTGCCAAATGAAAATTGCAATTTTCGGTTAGATTTAATTTGTTAAAAAAACTCCTTATTCAGAGCGTGAAAATACATATTACAGAAATTAAAACCATTTCAATAGAACAATGTTCAAACAGAATACTCGTTTTCGTAGGAAATTGTAAGGAATTTTGTTGTAAGAGGGAAAGGAGAAGAAATAAGAAGAGTTACAAAATTTTCTATGCTTTAAATACATACGATAGAATTCGGAGAAAAGCCTTGGTAGCGACAGTTTGGCTTCTTTAAGGACATTCTACTGAGACATGCCAAAACGACGAATTTTTTAAAAAATGGGATGGATGGATGGATTTTTACAAAAATCTCCAAGTGGGCTAAAGCACAATTTCACCAGTGAATTTAACTGAATTATCATCAGAAAACGTCTATCAATAAGCTACGACTACGACACAGTTTTACTCTAACACGAAAACGAACAAATGTTAATCTTAGCCATAATTGAAGACAAAATGTGATAAGAAGATAATAACCTAGCTTCAAGCTAGGCACGTGACGGTACACTTTTCTGCACACATTTCGCGTTTGTCTGTCTTATAACATTACAACATAGATTAGTAATACTATATCTATGTGTACATAATTGTGACGGACTATTAGGAACTTTTCTAATAATTTATATTTCGCTTAAAAATAGATTTACTCTTCCTTTTCGTTCCAACAATAAATGCTTTCAACAGTTTGCTATTTTTTTTTTAATACTTATTACATACTTTCTAGAACCTTTACATTCTGAAAGGAATCAAAAGTATTTTGAAGCTTAACGTTTAAACGAAAATATTAATTTTCTTTTATGAATAAATTGTGTGTCAGACTTTGTTCATCGTCACGCCCTACTGCAGTTTTCAATGAACGTACTATCGTAACCCACATCCCTGATATCGTTATCGTGTCATTTAGTATTGCTGAGAATGAAGTAAGCAAAGTTGAATGAAGTGTACGTCGGAAATCAATCGTAATTCCTGAATGAACGGCTCTTCCATTCACCTTATTGAGTACTATTTCTTCTCAATCTTGTTTCATACTTATCTTACTGGGCTGGTAATTTGAAACTAGCTGCCTGATTCTCTTTCGTGAACATTTCAATTTTATGAAAGTTTGGAGAAAGGAAAAACAGCGCCCGGAATATGGGCATAGAATTATTTCTCGAGGTAGAAGATCTGGTACCAAAATTGCAGAAAAACATAGTATGCCTCTCGCACTGATATCAGATCCTTGGCAGCGTATGCAAATTCAGGATGCTGATGGAGCCGAGGTATGTTAAATGTCCTGTTATGGTAAAGTATCAGCTGTTAATAACAAATTGATGGGTCTGTCATATATTGAACATTTATACTTGAATCAGAAGTAAGATGAAAAACAAAATTTTTCATAGAGTAATCAACCAATATCTCTATTTTTTGTCATTTCATATGTCTGAAAGAAATAGAATATTCTGAAATAAAATAGTCCGAAAGAAATATGTTTTAGACAAAATAAATAAATAAAAGATATTACTGTTTTATATTGGTAATCGTTATTATTATTATTATTTTTCTTGTGCTGGTAAAATATTTAGCTTATTTAAGGCTTAAGTTCCATTTCATTTTATGGTTTTAAAAACTAAAATATTTGAAGTTAAGAATTGATAACATGTATGTTGCTTTGCTGAGGCAGTATTAAGACAGAAAGAAATATTGATTGTTTAAAAAAATCAGTAATTTTTTTTAAATATAGCTTGTTCATGGAAAATTAAAAATTTTTTTTATTACATATGGATCTTATTTTGAATCTTAATAGTATTTAAAATAATGGTTTTGGGTTCATTTATTCTTATTACTAATTTAATGCATATATATATAGTAATTTTTTTATTGCTAGAAATGTAAATAATGTTAAATCATTGCAAGATTTGTTTTGAAAAGTTGTCTGTTGTTTAGAATTGCTGCATTTTTGTACCTTTTTATCGGAGTTTACTGATTTGCTTTCTGTGGTCGTATTTCAAATACAGTAGTGCTTCTCAATAAGAGACACCCACTGGACCAAACATATTGTCCCTTAAATAGAGATGTCAATTTTTCAAAGGGTAATACTAAAAAATGCAATTTGCTTAGATATTCGTATTGTATCAAGCTTTAAATAAATGATATATAAATAAGTTACATAGTTGCAAGTATTTATTTGAATTTGAAGTTAATGGAAAATGAAAATTCTTAATTAAATAAAGTATAATTATTGCAAAAATTTATGAGATGAGCAATAGAGTTTTACATCTACAGAAATTTATTAAAAATATGTTACACAGCTTTATTTGAAAATCGTATTTCAAGGCAAAAGCTTTTTATGCGACTCGTAAAATGTGTCACCACTGGCTGTTTCCCATTGCTTTCCAAACTATTTTTGCTAAAGCTTACATCATCAGCTACAGTTGAAATAAAAGATTTTTATGTGATCATTGGTGTCTTCAATGTAGGAGTTTTCATTGATTTATAGATATTTTTGTATTTTCAAGGAGGACACTCAGACCTTGAATTTCAAAGCTTCTTTTCTTAAAACAGTGATGAACACAACTTTATGATATGGATTTAACAGCCTTTATTATCCACTGAATGGCATTCATTACACTGGCACATTCTGCAAGCTGATCACTGTTTCCGCAATGCATCAGGTGGAAAAAAGACTAATTTCATAATATCAGTTTTACACTGTTAGGTAGGTGTGGCTGGCAAATTGGCAAGAAATACCATAATCTTCCTGTTTTTTGTAGATATTGTTTCATCAATAGCAATCAACCATTCTGACATTATGCTTTGCATTATCCATGACTTTTTATTGTAATACCAATGTACTGATAAAGCTTTTACATTGATACTTTTGGAATCATCTTTTTTTTTTTTTTTCCCCTTATCAGTTACAAGTGATTGCTCAAGCTCTCCTTTCATGTTGCATGTCAGTGGCACAGTGAGACGTTTCCTTCGAGCTTTTACTCAGCACTTAAAGCATGTAGTTTGATTAGGTAAAATTCGATAAAATAATCCATATCATCTACATTGTAGATGTTTTCAGACTTACATTCCTCACAATTTCAGTTAGCTTTTTTATGCAGTCTCTTACATGTTGTGTATCTGCCAACTTTTCTGCACCACAAATAAGTCTTAAAAGTAATGTTATTTCTTGACTTAAATTTATGTAACCAACCATTTGATGCTCAGAAGTCTGTAGTCCCAGACTTTTCGAAACTTCCTTTTCTTTTAATAATACTTCACTAACAGGAATATTGTTTGCTGTAACGGAATAAACCAGTTGAATACTGTTTTATCAATTTCAGATGCTGAAGTTTTTTTTAAACTTTACAGTCATGGAGTGTTCATTTGAATTAGTAATCCATAATATTTTTATTCCTTTTCTATTTTTAAGTATACAATTTACTTGCTTTTTACTTATGGCTAATCTTTGAAATATGGTAACAGGTAGTTTGGCGACATTTTGGTAAGGCGATAAAGGTTACTAGCTAGGACTTTAGCAGTGTAATGGATAAAGTCAAGAGTGTGTGCAATGCCATTTTAGTGCAATTCTGGGATGTTTTTTTAAGTAAAAATAGGTCGACGTGTACATGGAGGATACCGTGTATGTGTAATTCTTAAAGACGCGGTAAGCAGGGGGCGATTCTGCACTTTGTCCCAATTTCGCACCTAATCTTCGTCATGATTAAGCACTTTTGTTCCACAAAAGTTTTAGCATAAGCGTAATTCGGCTAGCAGATTGTTGGAAAAAAATGTTGAGTAAAAAAAAAAAAAAAAAAAGTCTTTACTTTGTGAAACCAAAATGGCATAAAAACAAAAACTAGCAGGTTGCTGTAGCAGGGTTGGTCGCCAAATGTTCGCCAAAAAATCGCCAAGTTACCATAATCCAAAGATTAACCTTACTTATTCCTAATTTCTGCCCTAAATCTCTTAAACTAAGCTTTTCAGTATCTCCTACGTTGAACTTTTTGTTTTAATGTTAATCTTTTCATCTTTTGAAGCCTTGTTAAATAACATATGCAAAAATAACACACCAGTACAAAAGTGCTGTTCTTTTTCTTCCCAGTCCTAGCAAAAACTAAGAATGATAAAAGTTTTCTCACTCTGTCCACATTGTGAGATCTCTATACCTTGGCAGGTAATCCATTCATCTGACCTGACTATCTTTTTGTTGAAATCAATCTTTGTCTTGGGTTGCCTTGCAACTTGCTAACACTATTTTCTTCTTACTGTGAACTTTAACTAGAATAACTGGATTTTGAATTCTGTGAATGTGAATGTACTTTTGATTGCACCACAGTTTGATTTTCGTCAATGTATTGTTCTCCTTTTCTTTACTGAAAAGCTGATTGCAAATGAGAGGGATTAACACTTAATTTTATTGTTCCTTTGTTACAAAACTAAGCACAAATTTGTCACTGAGCACAAATTTGCCTTTGTGCCTCTAAGATTATTAACAAAGAGTATATGTTCTTCAATTACACTACAGCCTATCACAGGCCAAGGCCGTCTCAGTAAGCTTCCTCCAGTGGATCGGATTAGCCGCTATGGTCTGCCAACGATTGATTTTTAGTCTTGAGATCTGCCTCCATGCAGTCTGTCCATCTTGTGTGAGGTCTTCCCCTTTTCCTGGTACCTTCTACACTTAAAACGGTCACATTTTCAACAGGGTTTAAGTTGCCACATCTAAAAATATATCCAAGCCACCTGATACAATAAGATTTGATGACTCAGACAATATTAGGCTGTTTGTATCTTCTATATATTTCATGGTTAAACAAAATTCTCCATTTATTATTTTCTTTAAGTGGGCCATATATTTTTTGCAGTATATTTCTTTTGAAGATTAGAAATCTTTCTTCTTCTGCTTTTGTTAATGGTTAGTCCAATGCCTCTGGCTGACTCTAGAGAAGTAAAAGTCTCCACAACTGCTGTTTACTTATGCCATTTGTGTTAATGTCATCAGTATACACTAATAACTTATGGATCTCTGAAATAGGGTGCCGGCTAATCTTTGGAATATGGTAACAGGTAGTTTGGCGACATTTTGGTAAGGCGATAAAGGGTTACTTACTAAGACTTTAGCAGTGTACAATGGATAAAGTCAAGAGTGTGTGCAATGCCATTTTTGTGCAATTCTGGGATTTTTTTTTAAGTGAAAATAGGTCGACGTGTACATGGATGATACTGTGTATGTGCAATTCTTAAAAACGCGGCAAGTAGTGGGTGATTCTGCTCTTTCTCCCAATTTCGCACCTAATCTTCGTCATGATCTAGCACTTTTGTTCCAAAAAATTTCTAGCATAAGCGTAATTCGGCAAGCAGATTGTTAAAAACAAAATGTTGAGTTTAAAAAAAAAAAAAAAAAAAAAGTGAAACAAAATGGTGCCGAAACTAAAACTAGCAGTTTGCTGTAGCAGGGTTGGTCGCCAAATTTTTGCCAAAAAATCGCCAAGTTACCATAATTCAAAGATTAACCTAGGGTACCTCTAGTTATAATTCTATCTTTTCAAGGGCGATATTAAAAAACATGCATGCAAGGGCATTACCTTGTCTCAACCTTCTTCAGCTGATAGAGGTCATCTGAAAGATCTCTGCAGTTTACTCTCTTTAAAGTCTTTCTAGATAGATCAGTCAGTTTTCTAAAAAATCCGAGTTCCAGCATAGCTTCAAACAGCTTTTCATGGTATATGCTATCACAAGCAGCTTTAAAATCTATAAAAGAGGTTGAAAGGTAATTTTATGTTTTCAAAATTTGTCTAACAGAATGAATTTGATGAATAGTAGATTTTCCAGCTTGAAATCCACATTGGTAGCTACCAATAACTGTAGATGCATACGGTAGTAACATATCATATAAAATATGGGAATTTTAAATGCCACGTTTAAGAGGTTGATACTTCCATAGTTGTTACATTCCAGTCTGTCTCCTTTTCTAAAAATGGAACATATGGAGCCCTCTTCCCATTCAATGGGCATCTGCTCCATAGACTAAACATTAAGTATAACCTTAATGTATAGCATCAATCAGTTCAGGTACGTCACTATTGATGAATTCTGCCTTAATACCATCTGTTTCTGCAGCCATGTTGTTATTTAGACTCTCAATAGCCTAGCCTTCCTCACTTCTTATAAGGATGGTGCATCAGGTTCCAGAGTTCAATCATTTTCAACAACATTCAGGTCAATATTTAGGTCAGCCTCCTCACTTGGAAGATCACTTCCACAGAGAAGATTTCTAAGGTTTCTCTCC